TACATACATTGACTATACATACATACATACATACAGACATACAGACAGACAGACAGATAGAAAAAACAGAGAGAGTGAACGTGAGTAAAAGAGTGAGAAAGAGGAGAGAGAGAGGAGAGAGAGAGAGAGAGAGAGGGAGAGAGAGGAGAAAAAGAGAGAGAGAGGAGAGAGAGAGAGAGAGAGAGAGAGAGAGAGAGAGAGAGAGAGAGAGAGAAGAGAGAGAGAGAGAGAGAGAGAGAGAGAGAGCGAGAGAGAGAGAGAGAGAGAGAGAGAGAGAGAGGAGAGAGAAGAGAGAGAGAGAAGAGAGGAGAGAGAGAGAGAGAGAGAGAGAGAGAGAGAGAGTAGAGAGAAGAGAGAGAAGAGAGAGAGAGAGAGAGAGAGAGAGAGAGAGAAGAGAGAGAGAGAGAGAGAGAGAGAGAGAGAGAGAGAGAGAGAGAGAGAGAGAGAGAGAGAACGAGAGTGACCGGCAGAGAGAGAGAGAGAGAAAGAGAGTGACCGGCAGAGAGAGAGAGAGAGAGAAAGAGAGTGACCAGCAGAGAAAGAGAGAGAGAGAGAGGGGTGGGAGAAAGAGCGTGAAGAAGAGCAGAGGAGAGAGAAAGAGAGATCGAGGAACACGGACAATGAGAGAAGACAGACAGAAAGAGGTAAAGACAGAAAAGTGGGCAGTGAGAGTGAGGGAGAGGAGAAGGGGAGGGAGAGGGGAAAATGAATCGTTTAGAGTTTCACAGATCATAGTACTACCAGTGTCGAATTCGTGGGAAAACCTTGGCGACAACAGGGCCGGCAACTTTTCAATTTATGCCGGCCTGCAGAAATTGCCGGCCCTGCATTTTTTGCATAATGGTTGAATAACATGTTTAAGGTGAAATAAAGTATATTACTAGTGCTAATGCTCATATACAGTTGCTAATGTATCATATGTATTGTATTTATCTTGTATGATTCACGCTAGGGCTAGACTAACATACGGCCGATTTTCGCACGACCAAAGCAGCGTAATATTGAAGAATAAATGTCTTACGGACTTACCTATGCACCAAATAGCCATTTTAAGTCTATAACTTCACCTCTTTTACTTTTAATCCAATGTTTTGAACACCCTAGGCGAAACTTACGCAAACGGGAAGGAATTTGCGTAAGTTTTCGCTAGGGTGTTCAAACCATTGGATTAAAAGTGTTCGGAAGGGGAAAATTTTGAAAAATAAAGATTCTCTGAGATGCATTCTGAGGCTATCTGAGCTCTGAGCAGGAATGTACTGATTTGAAAAGTGTGTTACAAGCACGATTTAGAAAGCATTTTACAATGTAAACTTCAATAAATTACAAGTAAAAATATCATGCAAACCAAAATTCTTTTTTCAAATTTTGAGTGGGAACACTAGGGTCAGCAGTCATAATTTACATATGTTCACTAAGGGAGGATTGTGAGGATTATCCCAGCAGGGAATAATTTCCCGGTATTGCATTCCGCAATTCGCGATGCAGTTTTTTACACTACCTTGTTGACGGCTAAGTATTATATGTATCGCACGCATAAATACGCAAGAACTTCACCACTCTTTTAGTTATTGTTAGAGCCCATCCGCACGGACAGTAGCATTAGGCCCGTATAGCGGCAACGTTTTCAGAAAATATATGTCGAACAATAGCTTTGTACTTAATTCACCGATAATTAATAGTACAATACACTATTCTAACAGCCATTACCCAACCGCATAAATACATGTACGAAGAATAAAACGCCTTTCTCATCCAGCAGTAGATCTAGACTTGTCTCTTGTTTGTTGCAGTGAATATGTCCGTTATACAATAAACAAAGTCATTTGGGATCGTCTTATTGTGTTTTTAATATGCAATTATACAGCGAGAGGGTGGTGTCAGAATTACTGTGTTCCCGCCTACTTGCTACGCAGCTAGCTTTCTCTGGTTTACTTCTTAAGTAGAAACTTGCGTGAACCGCAACGAGCAGACGCTCAAGTAGCCAGTCTATTCCAAAAATCAATACGAAGGCCGGGATCACACACCGATTCACGGCTTAGTTGGAAGCAAAGTCGCAGTTTCTAGCTAAGAACTCTGTGTATGAATTATTAGTTTTTAAACACGGAAAGTAAAGCACAATAGGCGGCGAAGTAAGTTATTTTGGAGGCGAATGTTTCCTGCCCGTCGTCAGTGGAACTTTTTAATTTTGGTGCGCCCAGCGCCAAAGTTGTCGGCTCGGCGTCGGGCATGCGCTTATTTCAAACACTGGTACTACCCGATCCAACATTATCACATGTAAGATGACATGACAATAATTGGACATACTTCATAGATTTTTTTAGCTTTAAGATTAGATAATATACCTTGTTGTTCTAGCTCAGCCATTTAATTTCATGCCTAGGCTGGAAGGCCCTCCATTTGTAGATCCGCAGTTCCTGTCCATGCTTATCAAGTAATCAGGTCAGTTGACGGTGTCTCGGTAGTCATAAACGCCATCTGGTCGGTCCTCTCCATACACCAAAGAAGAAATCTTCTGTGAACAGAATAGACGACGACCAAACATCAATCAATCAACTTAGAGATTTTATAGATTTTATCGATCTACTAGAGATTTGGCAGCGAATGCGTGGCGTCGCAAGCAGCAGTAAGCAGCATCGGAGCAGCAGTCTCCACCGATTCGATTACTTCGCCGGCGTGCTGACACCCCATGAATTACATCATGGGTGAACGTTCATAACGACACACCTGAAAATACCACTGTGTGGTGCAGTACTAAATAGAATCAATTTCATGACTCGACCCCGTCACCACCTTTACATTGCTGTGGCCAATGGCAAGACAGATGTATGCACTTACAACCTACGCATGGCAATGGCAAGACAGATGTATGCATTTAGAACCTACACGTGTGGCAATGGCAAGACAGATGTATGTACTTACAACCTACGCGTGGGAAGGATATGCGCTTTTACAACCTGTGGTCAGTGTGATTACCCAGCTGCTGTTCCCCCACACATACGCGCGGCACGTACTTCCCACGACGCATGCTCGAGCTGCCCCCCGTGCGCGCGTTCACCTTTGTCCGGGTTGTTTCGCTGGCTGTAGTCGGGGTTGCTGTCCATCGTGAAGGTGCGCGTGATCGCCTGGCCCGCGTCGGCGCTGTACAGAATCTTGAGCATGTGCCACGTCTGGGCGACGTCGTAGCGTTCCAGGTGCTCCGAGATGGCCGCGTTGTGCTCACACAGGTCCTTCAGCAGCTTGCCCGTCAGCTGGTACTTCTTTGCCGATATGACAAACCAGTCCATGGAGAGACTCTGGGGCACAGGTTACGATAGTATGATAGCATCAAGAGCTAATTATACATTTATTATAATTATGTATTATTAGCTGTTGGTAGCATTTGAATGCTCTTGGCTATACGTGGCAAGTCCGCCGCCCATAAACCGGTCCATGGAGAGAGACTCCGGCAGAAGTTGATTGAAGATTGAGAACGATAGTATGATAGCATCAAGAGCTAGTAATATGTGCATTATTAGCTCTTGATAGCTTTTGAATGCTCTTGGCTATACATGGCAAGTCTGCCGCCCATAAACCAGTCCATGGAGACACTCTAGCAGCAGAAATAATGATAGTATTATAGTATTTCAAAGTTGACTATAGGTGGCAAGACCCCCTCCTCTCTATCCCCAACAAGACATTTACACACGAATGCACGCTCGCACAACACATCCAACGTGATCTACCTTTCTAAATATATTTCACTAAAAAAAGAAAGTCATCGAAGTTATCGAAATCCACATTCTATAGGGTGTTTATTCCAACGTTTTCTAATTGGCACTAACGCAATGTCTATTACTAATTACAATACGATGCACCATATCGTTAACAACGAGGTAAATCTCACATTTTTTACTCCAGCATTCTGATACACTTGCACCTGGCTATTGGCACTTTTAAACAATTCGCTCCTACTTGGTGGTCTTCTGAAAGAAAATCAAATCCGTCATTAATCCATCCCCCTTATACCAGCTGAATAACTGTCATAGTATGCTAGGAAATGTTCAGAAAATCTTAATGAAAGTCTAACTGCGCCCAAATATAGCCAACCTTTTCAACCTGGTTCCTACAAGGCAACAAGAGTGCGTAATTTTAGATTTACCAACGTTGAATCAGGTTTAACAAATTCGAACAAATACACTACGATGCTTGACAAAACGTCTGTCGCAAAAACCACGATAAACATATTAAAAAGGTATAAATGAGAGTAATGCATGCAAAACCAGTACCGAAAAAACGAAGGTGCTTTAGTCGACTGATAATTTCCCGATCCCTTCACGGCGGAGGCATTTTCGAGCTTATTGCTGACTGCGTGAGTGACGTCCCCGTGAATGTTAATTGCCAGGCCAACAGGTGCGGCGCTGTCAGCCGGGCGAACTGCATCCCGAAACAGGTGCTGATACAGAGTGCAGTCCTTGCTCACAGATAAGAAATTATGTGGATCATGCCTCCATGCTATTCCTGCAAAAAGCCAGAGATGCATAGAAATGGTGGCATACTATTATACATAGACTGTACTATGTTGCAACAGCCAAAAATGTACTACTATTAAAACTCAGATCACGAAAATTTGCTCATTTAAAAAGGCCCTAGTTACCTAAAATTATCAGAAAAAATTCACATTCTTGATGTCTATCTCAACCTTGGACTAATTTTTATGATCATGGAGTTATACATTACTAATAGCAATATATTTCCCCTTTAAGTTATATAGTAAGTACACAATGGAACTTATACACACTGCAGCAACCTGTGATGGCAGTGGCATGATCAGGGTCTTCCATTTAACTTACTTATTCCTCTGTCTGCAAGGGACACACGCACACACACGCACACATGCACGCAGGCATGCACCCACGCTCTAACTCACATCATAACCGCCAACTGCACACATGATTTGGCAGGCGTACCATACTGTTATCATACCTACCTGTCGTAACATCCTTGTGTTCATTGAATGCTGCAAATGGAATGAACGGTCTCCGGACATCCCAAATGTTAATGCTGAAGTCAACAACCTGTGAGCAGCTAGCGATGTGGTACTTGCGCTGTGGCCGCCACTTTATCCTAGCTATCGACGCTATTGTCTGTATCGTATGCTCAAGGTGTGGCTTGTACTGAATATCCCAAACCTGTACAGTAACAGGAATGGCAGGAAAAATTTTAATTAATTTTTTAATTAAACTTTCAGTTTTCTTCGAACTGATGTTAAAAAGTATTTAAATAAGTGAACATTATTGTAAATCGGTATAGTATTGATAGTCTACATATCTGACTCTGATGTAGAGGATTCCGACATGAACACATTTTTAGGTTCGCAAAACCCAATGCACAAGTACTGTTTATCGTACTTTAATAGCTTTGTCTCTGCCGGCAGTAGCAATCCAGCGCTTGTCTTCCGGGTGCCAATCACACGAGAAGACAGGTCCGTTATGAGCAGTGAACTGCCGCTCACATTTGTCAGTCCGCCTCATGTCCCATAGGTCTACAACTGTTGACATCAAGCGCCCCATAAGTCTACTGTATGCTGTATACTTGGGTGATAACAAATCACGCAATAAATTATAAGGGAACAAATTAAGCACTCAGTAACTATGTACATAAGCATAGTTAATTCCAGGAGTTAAGGTAGGGAAACAATTATAAATTTGCCAAACCATCAATGAACTAAAATTAAATGAATGGAACGGCCCGAAATTAAATTATAATCTATTTTACACGAGTATCTACTTTTTATAGGGTTCACATCACAAGCCTCTTCCAACGAAATTATGGCTTCTGTAAAACACAAAATTAGCTTTACTTACCACTATCATGCGTTGCAGAAAATGTGAAATAATGATGAGGACTAAAGGACACATCACGTACACAGTCCGTGCCCGCGTGGAAAGTGCTGGCGACTTCTTTTTGCCTGAGATCAAACAGCATCATAGTGCCATCAAGAGAGCCACTAAGCAGCAAGTTAACGTCAGTTGGATGAAACGATACCTTGTTTACGGTACGCTTGTGAAGTGTAAACACATGATCTGTAACAGAATCGTAGTCATGCAGCTGGAATTCCTTTATACTTAAATTGAAGGGATTAATTCACTTTCAATTCACTATTTTAGCTTCAATTCAATTATACTTCAATTGAAGGGATTCCAGTGAAAATCGCATTTTTATATTCAAATGTTTTTGTGAACTGGTTTTCAGATTAAAAAAACTAGTTTCATTAGTAGCCTATAAATGATCCTTGCCTTGTTTTGACTTTGACGATTTCTGTAGATTCCAAGTTACCACAGCCCCATTAGTTGCTGCTGATGCTAATATGTGGTCTGAAATTTAAAAAAACACATCAACATATTGTAATTACCTCTGCCACGAAGTGGAGCGGAAGTAATGTAATCGGTCTCGTGTGTGTGTGTGTGTGTGTGTATGTGTCCAGTCCGCGCGGCGTGATCTATAGCGCGTCGAGTCAGCGAGCGGCGAGTCAGCAGCAGGCGAGTGAGTCAGCAGCAACCACCAGCGAGCAGCGAGTCAGCAGCCGCCACCAGCGAGCAGCGAGTCAGTCAGCAGCAGCCAGCAGCAAGCCAGCTCGTAACACATACATGTTACATGCTGGCGGAGATATGCACTCTCCGTGAGTGCCCTCTGTTTAGTTGGTATTGTGTTGTCAAGCTGTGCGTATGCTCAGATGGCACAAGTGCAATGAATTAATACAAAATGAGAAAAAAAAACAGTAGGAATAGTAATTAACAACATAAAGCTGTAGGGCTACTGTGTGGTGATATATTTCGGTGACCACCGGCACAATAAGAACACAATCCGTGTATGCTTTCTGCAAGATATGCAGACTTGTTAGTTTGTAAAGTAATATTACATGTAATCATTAGGTAAACATGACAAGATCTGAACAAATTGGGGAAGAAAAATTATGGGTTATTCTCACCTTCAATTGGATTCCATACAACATCAGTACAGCTGAGGTTCAAATTTATTTTGCCTACTCTCAAACTCATCTTCTCCACAAATTCCTCATCCTCAATTGAGAATATTTTAAAAACTGTAAAACAAAAAGTCATAATTATTAACGTAGGCTCAAATACAATACACCGAAAATAATGATTACTTTTGCGAACAAGCGTATCGATAAAAACTGTTAACACATTTTTGATGGCTCTAAAATAATATATAAGCCCTACCAATTATATTCCAAGTACTATGAAACCAGATTACTGATAGAAATGTGAAATGTACCATTACGACCAGCTACAACACACTGAGTTGCATCTCTGTTAGTGCTTATGGTATTGAGGGGACCCTCTTGAGTGCAAAACATAGTTCGCCCCATTGACATGATAGATGATGTTGTCACCAGACGACTTTAAAAACCCTGAAAAGAAATAAGGAATAATTGTTGTGTAAATCAGCAAATTGTAAAGTCTACATTCAGGCCGTTAACAATATAATATCGTCAGCAGTGTCACGATCATACACTTTCTAAGGACCACCCACCACCATTAATGAAGATAAAATGGAATTTTCCACACCACTACCGGGTGATACTCCATTAGGAGTGTTCCCATATATTAGTTTGTGGTTTAATGTCATTTAGGTTATAGAGAGAAAGAGAGATCGAGGAACACGGACAATGAGAGAGACAGACAGAAAGAGGTAAAGACAAGAAAAGTGGGCAGTGAGAGTGAGGGAGAGGGAGAAGGGGAGGGAGAGGGGAAAATGTATCGGTTTAGAGTTTCACAGATCATAGTACTACCCATCCAACATTATGCACATGTAAGATGACATGACAATAATTGACATATTCTAGATTTTTTTTAGCTTTAGATTAGATAATATACCTTGTTGTTCTAGCTCACCATTTATTTCATGCCTAGGCTGGAAGGCCTCATTTGGTAGATCCCAGTCCTGTCCATGCTTATCAAGATCAGTCAGTGACGTGGTCTCGTAGTCATAACCCATCTGGTCGTCCTCTCCATCACCAAAGAAGAAATCTCCTGTGAACAGAATAGACGACGCCAAACATCAATCAATCACCTAGAGATTTTATAGATTTATCGATCTACTAGAGATTTGGAGCGAATCGTGTCCAGCAGCAGTAGCAGCATCGGAGCAGCAGTCTCCACGCGATTCGATTACTCGTCCGGCGCTGTGACACCCCATGATTACATCATGGGTGAAACCTTCATGACAACCTTGAAATACCACTGTGTGGTGCATGTACTAAATAGAATCAATTCATGACCGACCCCTGTCACCACCTTTACATTGCTGTTGGCAGTCACTCTCTCTCCTCTCCTCCCCACTTACCCTCTTTACCCCCATTCTCTCTGCCTCTCTCTGCACCTCGATTGATATGAATTGGTAAGACATCCTGATCATGTTTATATTGATTATTAACATATCAAGGTATAGACATGTTCACTCCTTTGACTTTTTCACTCTGTGAGGCGCCCTCACTGTCCACACACACACATGCTGCCGGCACCCTCACCACGCCCGGTGCCTTCACCGTCCCCGCCCGGTGCCTTCACCGTCCCCGCCGGGTGCCCTGACCACACCCGGCACCCTCACCATCCCCACCCGGCGCCCTCACCACGCCCGGTGCCTTCACCGTCCCCGCCCGGTGCCTTCACCGTCCCCGCCGGGTGCCCTGACCACACCCGGCACCCTCACCATCCCCACCCGGCGCCCTCACCACGCCCGGTGCCTTCACCGTCCCCGCCC